TTCATTAAGGTCATTTTGTTGTTTGGTGTCGATCTCCCCCTCTTAGGCCTTGTTTGGCCCTTTTTGTACTCTCTTTGTTAAGTTTTGGAACCTCTTGTGTATTGGCCTTCTCACCACTGAAATCCAATGGATTTTCAGTGGTGAAGAAGGGGTTTTGAGGTCTTGCATCAGGGAGGGACACCCCTCTCCCTTTGTCTCTCTTTTTTTTTTATTTTTTTTTTTTTTTGGCTCTTAATGGTAGAATGCATGAGTAGTTGTCTTTGGTACCATTTCAGAGGTTTTTGGATGTTGTTAGGTCACAATATGCCTCTGTTTTTGGTCAGATTAATGACCCCTTTCATGCCTAATATACTTGCCTTATATTCCCCTATTTTGCCTAGAAGTGCATCTTGCATCTAGCCTAACATGCTCTCATATTTTGGCCTAACTTTGTGAAGTTCTTTGCCATGTCTTACCATGCTTGAGGTTTGTGGGGTGCTGTTTTGATCATATTTGACATATTTGGTATAGCCTCTTTGCATTTTGGCTTGTGAGCCTTGAGGGTGTGAGTTATGAGCATGCTTTAGTTGGGTTGTTTCAATGATTTGGGGTCATTTTACATGCCGTCTCAGTCCCTAATCCATGCTTGCATGATTGCATTCATCATCCCTTTCATGCCTCGAAGAGTCGTCTTGTTGAGCCTTAAAATGAGCATTGTGCATGCTTATGTGTTTGAGGCTTTGGGTTGCCATGACATTGGGTTTTAGGGGTCCCTTTTGCATGCTAAAACTCTGTTTTGCATTGAAAAATCCATGCCTTATTTGCTTGGGGTAGGTGTTGAGTAATGCCCTCATAATCTAACTCTCTCTCCCTTAACTCTCTCCCTCTAGTCGGCAAAAGCAAGAAATGAGCTGAGCAAAATGTTTGATTCAAGCATACCAAGGCTCTAACATGTTATAATAAGGGCCCACTAACAATGGCAATAAGGTAAATAGAGCAACTATTGCAATTAACTAATATTAATCTAATTTAATCATACCTAATCAATTTTCAGATAATTATACCATAAAATCACATTAATTCTGAGGATCATGGAACATCAATCGGTTTCTAATTCGGCCGCCGATATGGCCTTCAATTAGCAGTTTAAACATATAAGCATGAACAGATAATCATACAGTCAAACAGATAGAATGCAATTTAACTAACATATACTCAATCAATTCGGTTTCCAATTTCAGTCAGTCAGTTCAGTACTTTTAATCAGTTCAATTATCAGTCAGTTATCAGTCATTATCAGTTCCGTTTAGCAGTAATCGGTGATTATCGGTAATCAATCAGTCATTAATCAGTAAACAATATGAGGGTTGTTACATGTTTACTCCACATACTCGCTAGGGAGTATGTCCTTTAGAACCTAAATCACATTTGCAGAGAATCCTACTACATCTACATCGAAGCCGAAACTAAGCCCCCCTAGCGTGCTTTGGGCACTAAGAAGTAGATTTAACTCCAATAAAAAATTATGGAGACTGAAACTCAAAAAATTTAAAAATCTCATCATTGAACTAACTTATGTTACCAGAAAACGTTAATACACTAACAAATTACATATTGGTACACATGTTTCGAAACATGGTACGCTTTTATTCCAAAACGGTAAATTTAGTAATCCAACGCGATTTTTTTTTCAACATGTCCTTAAATGTTACCTTAAAAGGAAGAAATTCAAATATAATAAATTAAAATTTAAGGCGAGTTAAGTTTTGACAAAAAAAAAAAATTCAAAAAAATGGTCATAATGCTCATAGAAAATATTACATTTTATTAGATATCTAATAGTTAAAAAAAATTATTTTAGAAGTACCTTAAATTCTTCAATATAATATATATAAGTCTACTTCTATTATACTATATTTTAAAATATGTAATGTACCACATTTTTATTTATATTTCACCTATCAAAATGATTTACGTTCTAGTGACATAGGAACCAACCCCTTGTTGGTAACACGCATTTTAAAATAGATAATTTTTTTTTTAGAGATAACTATGATAAAATAAAAAAAGTTATGATTACTAGATCGACATAATTTTTTTTATAAATAATATATATTAAGAACTTTACAAAATAAACAGTTTAGATCGTAATCGTGATAAATTTCATAAACCCTTCAAATTCTCCCATATTAAAATATGAATATAAAAAAAGTCAAATCTAACTTTATAACAATGTAACTGTTTTTTTGACCAACAAAGTGAATGCATTTTGTATTTTTTTTGGTATTAAAAATGGATATGTACATCTGTTTACTCCACATACTCGCTAGGGAGTATGTCCTTTAGAACCTAAATCACATTTGCAGAGAATCCTACTACATCTACATCGAAGCCGAAAACTAAGCCCCCCTAGCGTGCTTTGGGCACTAAGAAGTAGATTTAACTCCAATAAAAAATTATGGAGACTGAAACTCAGGTTTTGAACAAAAAATTTAAAAATCTCATCATTGAACTAACTTATGTTACCAGAAAACGTTAATACACTAACAAATTACATATTGGCACGCATGTTTTGAAACATGGTACGCTTTTATTCCAAAACGGTAAATTTAGTAATCCAAAGCGATTTTTTTTTCAACATGTCCTTAAATGTTACCTTAAGAGGAAAAAATTCAAATATAATAAATTAAAATTTAAGGCGAGTTAAGTTTTGACCAAAAAAAAAAAAAAATCAAAAAATTGGTCATAATGCTCATTGAAAATATTACATTTTATTAGATATCTAATAGTTAAAAAAAATTATTTTAAAAATACCTTAAATTCTTCAATATAATATATATAAATCTACTTCTATTATACTATATTTTAAAATATGTAACATACCACATTATTATTTATATTTCACCTATCAAAATGATTTACGTTCTAGTGACATAGAAACCAACCCCTTGTTGGTAACACGCATTTTGTATTTACACACCCCATTCATTTCCTAAAAATACGTTACGATAGTAACTAAGCCCTGTACATGTGAGGAGAGTAATTTAAATAAAAATTTAAAAGTTGGATTGCTCTGTTCATAATTTGAACAGGAAGGCATTGCTTTGACCTTTCGTTCTATTTTGATAATTTAAATTATTTATTTTATTAAATATTATATGTTTTGTGTGTGCTGTTTTCTGATTACACTGTCAAATAGGTACTCAGTTGGAGAATACTAACAGAATAGATCATGTCCGAACATAGAAAGAAAAGACTCTGGCGGTGGTTCGTTCACCTGGGACACTCTGACGATCAAGTCAGTACTCAATTATCTCTAAAAAATAACAAATAGTGTTTCAACTTACTAGCGAGGAAACAAAAAACATACCTTAGACCCATGAGGGTGCCTTATTTAAATAGTGTTTCAACTTACTAGCGAGGAAACAAAAAACATACCTTAGACCCATGAGGGTGCCTTATTTTTATAGTCAGCACTAACCTGATCCTTGTAGAAGCCTAGCTTCTCTTGGATTTTGGCTTAATGCTCATCGTGGACTCTCCAATAGATAAAGATAAACTCCCTAAGAGATTTATCCTTATTTAGGCTGATGTCTTTCTCTATTCTAGGACTCTTATAGATTATCTGTTTATCTCGAATTCTGATATCTTCGCAGGTAACCTCGACCTAACTGAGATCACATCGGCGTTAACCTCGACCCAGCCGAGATCACATCGGCGTCAAGACCAGGACGCGTGATACCTCAGTGACTCTTCAGTGTCACCTTAACCACGTGTTGTTATTCACAAAATATGTCCCCACATATTTGATAATGAAAGAAATACTTAACAATTAGAAAAAAAATACACAAATATAAATGGACAAATACAAAGAGATACAAATAAGACTTGCACTCTAGAAATTTTCACTTGCACTCTACTCCACTGTCAAATAAAAAAAATACATAAATTACGATAAGATAAAATAAAACAGAATAAAGAGGCTCCGTCCGGTCCATTTTGGAGGCAGTACACCTCCAAAATTTTAATATACGGAGAGACAGAGACAAGTGGGGTGGGTGATAATGCGTGCAGATTTTTCAAAGATCACAAAATCTCAGCATTTTAGTCTTTTAGCTTTTTAAAGTAGATTTCCAGATTTTGTGTGTCCCTCCGTCCCGTACTGTGTATGTACTATGTGTGATGATACTATATATACTACTTTTTCTATTGCAAAGTAAGCCTCTGTTTGGCAAGTGAGGTTGGAGGTTTTTTTGGCTATTTTAGTCACAAAAAACAAAATAGGCTATTTTAGTCATAACAAACAAAACATCACATCCAACCCATAATCATTACATTCTTCTCTCACAAAAAAACTCAAAAAAGCCAAAAAGCCAAAAAGCCCTTCCCAAACCAAGCTTTTAAGCCCAGGCTAAAATAGCCAAAAAAGCCAAAAAGCCAAAAAGCCAACCCACTTCCCAAACGGAGGCCAAATGTCTTAATACAAATTAGAATTGGTTATCCAACAATAATAGAAATTCAAGTTTGATTTTCGTATTTTTTTGTTTTTAGTGAATGTTTTTAAAATTTTAAACAATTTTTTTACTTCTTTAGATGCACCTTACTTAGATGTATCTAAAAAGTAAAAAATTTGTGAAAAAATATTTTTAAAATTTAATAAATACAGAAAAATATAAAAAATATGCTGAATTCTCATTTTTTTTTTGTATTTTTGGTATTTAGTAAATTTTTAAAAGATTTTTTTCATTTTTTTTACTTTTTAGGTATATATATGTTAGGTATGTCTAAAAATTAAAAAAATTGCTCAAAATATTAAAAAAATTCAGTAAAAATAAAAAAATACGAAAAATAAAAAAATAGAATTTTCTGAAAATCGTTTTTGAAAAATGATAACCAACCATTTTATATTTAATTTTTGAAAAATAATTACTAATATTTTGAAATAATAAAAAATAAAATAAGAAATTAATATTTTGAGGGGGGAGAAACGATATATAGTGAGAGAGAGAGAGTGTACATATATACACCTATCATTCTATATATAGTGCGAGAGAGTAGAGAGAGAGTCTGAGATTTGGTTGGTAATGGCGAGAACGGCCGGCGAGTATTTGCGGCGAAGGTCGTCGGAGAAAGTTGAGGGTTTGGATCATCTGTTGTCGTCTGGTTCACGAGAACTCCATGTTCTCGCCGTTGATGACAGCCACGTGGACCGGAGGGTGATCGAGCGATTGCTGAAGATCTCTTCTTGCAGAGGTACATATACATATTGATGAATACTACTTCTACTACTTGAAATCTCTTAGCGATTTTTGATTTGTTTGCTGAAACCGATTGGATTGGATTGGAATTTTCAGTTACGGCCGTAGAGAGTGGAAGCAGAGCTCTGCAGTATCTCGGTTTGGATGGAGAGAAGAGCTCCGTCGGATTCAATGTAAGATTTTTTTTTTAAATTTTAAATGCATATTCCATTTGTTTGGTTGCTGAGAAAGCGGAGGAAAAGGAAGAAGAAATACAATTTTTTGTTTTTTTTTTGGTGATTTATATTGTGGTTTTTGATGATTTGATTTTAGGGTTTGGAGGTGAATTTAATAATGACGGATTATTCAATGCCTGGAATGACTGGATATGAACTGCTCAAGAAGGTCAAGGTTAGTTTTATGTGATATTGGTATTTCGCTAAAGGCCCTGTTTGGTTGCCAAGAAAACTGTGGCAAGAAAATAAATTATTGAAGCATATGTTTTACGCTGTTGATAGTAATAGTAATCAGCTGGGTAGGGCTTTTGGATTTATTTATTTTCCCGCATTATTTTGGCAACCAAACAAGGCATAACCTGCTGGCAGAAATGAAATTTATACTTGCCCAATAAAGATAATGAAATTTAAAATAAAAAAAAAAAACTTGTAAATACTAAAATTGTTTTTGTTGCTTTCATTTTTGAACAGGAGTCATCGACTTTGAGAGAAATACCCGTGGTGATCATGTCATCTGAGAATATCCTAGCTCGTATCGATCGGTATGCTATAATTTCCATCATTGTTTGTTTAGAGGTAGTCCCTTGTGGTTCTTGAAGTAAGATTGAACTATTGGATCCAAATTTATACTTTTAAAATTTGTTTGTAATAAGAAGTATTATAATTGTAGATCATCAATTAGAGGACTGCATATTTGCTCGGATTTGACAAAACCTGTATTCAAACATGTATCACAAAACAATACAGATCCATCCAAAGTCGAACGCAAATTTAGGGATTTTATGGCATCTTAATAGTGTATATAAGCAATAGAATCCAATATTTGATATCCAAATCGGGTATAGGTTTTTTTTTCCCTCCAAATTTGGGGATTTTATGACATCTTAATAGTTTATAAGCAGTAGAATCCAATATTTGATTTCCACATCGGGTATATATATATATATTGAAATGTGGGGATTTTATGGCATCTTAGTAGTGTATAAGCAGTAGAATCCAATATTTGTTTGGATTTGACAAACCCATGGACAAACTTGTATCAAAATCCAAATCCATCCAAAGCTGAATGCAAATTTGAGGATTTTATGGCATCTTAATAGGGTATAAGCATTAGAATCCAATATTTGATATCCAAATCTGGTAAAGTTTTTTCAATTGAGATTGGGCATACAAAAATGCTTGGGATCCATGACCCCTAAAATGATGTGGACCAATCATGTGTTTTTGTTTTTTGTTTTCCTTTCATTCCTAGACCAATCACAAATGAGTAGGGGTTGTGGGAGTTGTGCTTTTTGGGGGTCTGTAGCATTTTTGTTGTGCACATATGAATCTGATTTGTTGACAGGCATTTCCAACATTAGAATTTTACTGAAATCTAAATACACAGAGATATTTGATTGTGCATAGATCAATCTGTATCTGATTTTACTGTTTTATTTTATTTCCACAATTCGTGACCTTGCCTTGTAAATTTGATCAAATTTGGCTATGCTTCCGCAATTGTGATCTTGTAAAAAGTAGGATTCATATTGTAAACCGCTTAACAACAAAATTTTTGATCGATTACAGATGTTTGGAGGAAGGGGCAGAGGAATTTCTCGTGAAGCCAGTAAAGCTATCAGACGTGAAACGCCTGAAAGATTTCATGTTAAGAGGGCAAGGAGAGGAAAATGGAGAGAGAGGAAGCCATAAAAGAAAGCTACCAGATGATTACACGCCATCATCACCCTCGTTACCATTGTCATTGTCACCATCACCTCTTGCTTTTGATCGAGCATCAACACCCGCACAATGCCCATTGCTACCGTCACTACAATCTCCTTCAAAGAGGCCTATATTGTGTAATATTGATTGATCTTCTGTCATTTCTAGTCGACTTATTAACCATTACTTGCCCATGCCGATAGTGTTCGTTGTTGGGTAGAGGTGATGTATTTTGTTCTCTTTTGCTTTTAATATATACTCTTACAATTGTATATTGCTGACTTGAAGATCAAGCCATTGTGAAAGTGTCAACTCCTGGGCTGGTTAAAATATAATAAATAATACAAATAAAAAAGTTGGGAGATGATTTTCACTTCTGATCCCCAGTTTATGTGAAGGAGATGGGAATTTATGTGACCTCAATTTTTTTTTTAGGGGTGTTGGGCTTTTATTTTTCATGTTGTACTGTATTTCTGATCCATGGATATGTATTTCAGTTAGTTTACTTTTATTAATTTAGACCATTAATAAAATCAAAAATGATTTGAACCCCCAATTTTTCAAACCCCCAGTGACCCCCAGTGTTTTCTTATTGGCTGGAATTTTTTTTTTTTTTCCTATCTGCCAATCACAGAGCCCTATGTGGAGTGGGGGTGCTGGGGTCACCTCCCACTGGGGTCCCCAGCACGGTTGTAATAAAATATAATTGTAAATTAATTTCGGATAATCCTAAAATTATTGGGTGATTCTATTTGTATCCAAATATTAACTCAATATGCCCAATTAAAATTTTGAAATTTTACTTCTTATTATATCTTAATGTAAATTTATTAATAAGGACAATATACATTAATTCTTAAAATAAATTTATTTTTCTCATGGTACATTTTAATTACTTATATATAATTTTTATATTTAAGTCTCTTTTATCTTCATTCCAAAGTTATAATTATTTTTTCTTCATTTCTTCCTCGCCGTTATCATTAAAATCATTATTTTTTATTGTGTTTTTATTTACAAATAGAATAAAATTCTAATAAAATTGAACAATGAATAAGAATAATAAGCAATCCATGTAATGCTTTATATCATCCAAAATGAAACGTGATCAAATTCTATGTCGCTGAACACAAACACTCCCTTGACCATCTCTTCTTTGCTCATATTTTCATTTACAGTCACTTGCAATATCAAATCTAATCTCGCTTGAAAATTAGCATTCATCCCTAATTCCATATGCCTTACAAACTCAAATATACGATATCAAATCGTCTCTTTCGGCCATATGAAGCTTTGGGTTTTTGCTAAATGTAATGAGTTTTCCTTTCCATGGCTCTTCACTTGGTTCTGAAACCAACACACCAAGAGCAAGAGAGACCTCCATTGAAATGCCTTCCATACGACTCGATACATCAGTCTGCTAGATAATTCTTTAACTTTCCCTTGTTGAATATATCATCCACCATTCTCTTCCACTGAAGCTCTGCAACTTGCCCACCATCTGCTTCATTAAACATGGAAGACATTGCTTAAGAAATCTGTTTAAGAGTTTTTAAGTGGTGTTTGATTTGTTTATTATTTGGATAAGATATAATGAGGATAAATTATAATCATAAATAATTTATTAGAAAATACTGAAAAATTAAACATACTAAATAGTATTAGGGGCACTTACCAATAAGTCTAATACATAAAATTTAAAATCCATCTAATCCCAAAACAAAATACTTGCACCAATTAGTCTTATATATTTTTAAGTGTTACCAATTTTTTATTTATTTTTATTTTTTATAACTTCAAAAATTCTGCTACATTCAATGACTTCCGTCAGACTCACTGAAGACTCACCGGAATATTCAACATCACCGGGAAGTCACTGAAGCATCACCAGAAGTTTGCCGAAGTGTTTTGAATGTCACTGAAAAATGTCAAGAACATCATCAGAGATTCACCGGAATATTCAGAATATTGTCGAAAAAAAATAATAAATGAAGAAATTATAATTAAAAAACATAACAACAACAAACAACAATGGAAAAAAGTATATATTATTTCAATTTTTGTAGGGTTTAAGCAAATAATCTGTAATATTGATCAAACTGAAAAGTAAGCTTTGAAACTGTAAAATGTTATAGTTTCAAAGCATTATTCTATTAAGTTGGAAAACACGTTATGAAACTGCAAAATTTTATAGTTCTAAAGAATGTTATGAAACTGTAAAATTTTGCAGTTTTAAAGCTTGATTCATTTCAGCACCAAAAAAACTGAAACTGTAAAATTTTACAGTTTTCACTGCCTGTAACTAAAATTTAAAAACAACTTATTCATAACTTGAAAATTTTCTCCATTAAAATAGAAAAATAGACATGTGTAACAGAAAAAAGGTAGAAAAATCGAAGGAAAGAACAGATATAGAAACAACTATTTTTAGTTTAAATCTAGTTGGATCTCATGTAGATCTACTTAGATTTGAAGTAGATCTGAGTAGATCTATATCAAATTTGAGTAGATTTACTCATCTTCTTCGCCATTGGTGATGATGAAGTCACGAGTTGATGTTGGTGGTTGGTGGTTGCGGGTGAACCCCAATCAATGGTGTTCGTCGATCACCGGTAATTATATATTAGAAAGAGAAAGAGAAAGAGAATAGGGAAGGTGTAATCATAGATCATCGGAAGAAGAGGAAAATACACACAAAAAAAACAAGAAGAAAGGAAAACTTAAATAATGAAACAAAAAGGAGAGAGAGAGGACTTTTGAATCTACTCAAAAAACTGATGAATTAAATAGTGTACACATATTTCAAATATGTCCTACGAATAATTTTCTCATAACTTTTTTAAGGGGAACTTACCAATAAGTCTCACATATAAAGTTCAAGACCTATCTAATCTCCAAATAAAACACTTGCACCAATTAGTCCTATATATTTTTAATTGTTACCAAAAAATCCTATTTTTTTTTTTTAAAATTTACAGCCGCTGTTACATCCTACTATCGTCGGACTTCCATCGACGGTCATCGGAGACTCGTCGGAATGTTCAACATCACTAGGGAGTCGCCGGAGTATCGCTGAAAAGTCGCTGGAGTATCGCCGGAAGTTCACCGGAGTGTTATGAACATTAATGGAAGTCGCCAGAATGTTCAGAACACTCATTGGACGTTAAGAACATCATTGGAGACTCACCGGAATGTGTATAATATTGCCGGGGAAAAAAAAAATAAATGAAGAAATTAGAGCGAAAAACATAGCAAAATGTGCTAAATATTGATAAACAAAAAGAAAAAAAAAATGGAACGACAAAAAACAGCGACAATGGGAAAAACATATGCTATTTTTTAATTTTTGTAAGATTTAAGCAAATAATCTCCAATATTGATCAAACTGAAAAACAAGTTTTGAAACTGTAAAATGTTACAGTTTCAAAGAAAAAATCTATTAAGCATTTATCTTTATTAATCAAACTGAAAAACATGTTATGAAATTGTAAAATTTTACAGTTCTAAAGAATGTTATTAAACTGCAAAATTTTACAGTTTTATACCACGATTCATTCCAGCACCAAAAAAATTTTAAACTGCAAAATTTTACAGTTTTAAACCATGATTCATTCCAGCACCAAAAAAATTTGAAACTGCAAAATTTTATAGTTTTCACCGCCTGTAACTAAAACTAAAAAATAATTTGTTCAGAACTTGAAAATTTTCTCCATTAGAACAGAAAAAGAGAAGTGTATCACAGAGAAAATGTAAAAAAAAAAAAAGAGATTGAAGGAGTGAGGCGTATATAGAGAGAGGATTGTACTTCGGCAACTATTTTTTGTTCAGATCTAGTCAAATCTGATGTAGATCTACTCAGATCTGATGTACTAGATCTGAGTAGATCTACTCAAGATCTAAGTAGATCTACTCATCTTCTTCATCTTCTTCGTCGGAAACATATCTTCTTTACCGTCGGTGAGATAAGGAGTCGACGGTCGGTGGTTGCCGGTGAATCTCAATCGATGGTAGTCGTTGGTTGTCGGTGACTATATATCAAAAAGAGAAAGAGAAAGAGAAGAAGCAAGATATGGTTACCCGTCAACGATCGCTGGAAATCACAAAGAGAAGAAGAAAGGCATGGAAGAAGAAAGGTAGAGAAGAAGAATAACATTATTAAACTTTTGGGTACAAATAAAAAGTTATGAGACTAAATACATTACACGTTTTTTAAAGAAGGCTTCTTGATAATTTTTCTTTTTTTTTAAGTACAATAGAATCACCGAAAATTATCAGGCTGATGGGCCACGGGCCTGCCGCCACCTCTAATTAGAGCGTCTTGCATGGCCCAAATAAAAGTACTTGCCTACATGGGCTTCCTTGTAATACTTACAACAAAATAAACCACTGTGAGTTATGAACTTGAAAAACAAACAAACAAACAAACTCTTAACTACCTTTTGAATTAATGAAAATTATTAGATATTTTCAAAATATTCCTTCGGCTGAAAAATTGTAACAATCATTTGTTTCTACTTAACAGTAAATTGAACTTTCTGAAAAAAAAAAAAAAAAGGTTAAATTGGCATGTTGCACTCTTAATTTTTTTTTTTTTTGCTATGTGATTAAATTAGAATACCGTGTAAATAATGTCACATAATATTATGAGATTCTTAAATAATTATCTTGAATTAATTGATAAATAATTACATACAAATACAATTATTGTACATAATTTTCATACTTATGTTACTTCTTGGATTCTTATATTTTTAATTAAAATACCCACCATTGTTCACACAATTCAAGAACGTTATTAACACATCAATTTTATTTATTTATTTATTTATTTATTTATTTTTGCATTTGTCATGTGGATTTGACAAGTACTTTGCTTATTGTCAATGGTGACTCCAGGATTTTTCGTAGATGGGCCATCTCATAAGCTTAAATTTTACAACTTTTTTTTTTTTTAAAAAAAAAGAAGTTTAAATTAAACAACATTTATTTTGTTTGCTTTTTAAACCAAACCAAACCAAACGAAGCCTTAAGTCCCATCAAGTGGGGTCGGCTACATGAATCCTTCTTCTCCACGCGGCCCTATCAAAAGCCATTTCATTAGTCAAATTAAGTAGATTCATATCTCTATTTATAACGTTAGTCAACGTTAATCTAGGCCTACCCCGTCCCCTAACACTTCCATCTACCGTTACAGCATCGCATCTCTTCACTACTGCCTCTGTTGGTCTCCGTTGAATATGACCAAACCATCTCAAACGATTCTCTCTCAACTTATCTTCTATCGGTGCTACTCCTACCCATTCCCGAATACACTCATTCCTAATCCTGTCCTGTCTAGTCTTACCACACATCCACCTTAGCATCCTCATCTCAGCCACACTCATCTTATCTACATGT